TTACCCAAGGTCACACAGCTAATAAGTGGGTCCGAAATAAGTCCAGAGCCTGTGTTCTTGACCACGATGCTGTAGAGTTCAAGGTCTGAAGATGCTTAGAGACTTTGGTCTGTGGCCAGGACTTGAAATCTCAACCATAGAAGACAGCATAGAGTGCTCCGTGCACAGTGTGTGACAGCCAGTACATGGCTACTATTAGCATCATTTCCTGTGATGCCCAGAGGGGAACTTGCACTCAGATGGGGCTGGGACTCAGCAGAGTGCCACCAGCAGCAGAGCAAAGGGGGTAGGGCGAGCTATGTGGAGAGTGTCTCATAAACATTTGGGGCAGTGAGAACAGCTGTGTGGTCCGGGGGAAAGATTTCGCTTCAGGACTGTGTGTTGACGCTGGTGTCACAGCTGCACCGAGCACCCCAGATACTGTGAACGAGCTGTTCCAAGCCCAGACGCAGTGTTTTCTCACCATATGTTCCCCACTGAGCATGTGGTCTTTCAGACAGGGATGGCGTGGAACTCAGAAGCCGGAGTGCCCAGGCACAGAAAACCAGCTCAGAGGAGCCATGCCCCCCAAACTGCCCCAAGTCTCCTGACTCCCAGGGATCCTTTCATGTGTAATCTTCCAACAACCATAGGTGGGGATGGGGCAGCTACTACACGGGAGGTACTGTGTCAGGCACCTGGGATACGAAGGTGAATGAAGCATTAATGGCCTGCACTCTAGGGAGGGACCCGCCATGCCGGCCTCGGGACAGGGCATTGAGAGCGTTGTTCTAAGCTCTATAAAAGAGAGATATCCAAGACTTTGGGAACAGAAAGGAGTTAGTGAAACTCTTTGTAATGAAATTTAAAATTTTTTTTTGCACACCCAGCATCTAAACACCTTTTTTATTATATTTAAGAGAACTTCCCAAATAGGTGAAGGCAAGTCCTTCTACTGGCAGGTGGAGTGTGTGCACCTGACATGAATGTCCATCTCCAACATGGACTTCAGGCTCCTGGATCCAGGTGATCACTCAACACCTGCACCTGGGTGTGCAGCAGATCCCTCAGATGACTAAGCAAGACCTGGTACCATCTCCCAAAACTGGCCTCTTTCCCAGTGTTCTCCAATCTGTTGGCTCCAGCCAACCATCTTGAGTCTCTAGGATGCCTCTCTGTCTTGCACACATATCACAGCCATCAAAAAGGACTGTCATCCCTACTTTTAAACTGAATCTGACTCTAAACACATCTTACCACTCAGCTCTCTGGACGGGAGTTGGCACCACCACCATCTCCAATTTGCTGTCCTGAAATGCCCTCCTAGCAGGTCGCCTTTGTCTGTGCTTGCCACACCCTTGTCTGTCCTCACAAAGCAGCTACAGAGCATCTCTTACTATGCAAATCATGTCACAGTCTCCTGTTCAGTGTTCTTTGGTGGCTTCTCATCAAACAGAGTAAGTGCCACCATCTTCCCAGGCCAGGGAAGCTCTCCACTTTCAGTTTCCTGCCCACGCAATGAATGTGTTTTCTCACTTTCTTACCTTTCCTCACTCCCTTGTGCTGTGACTGGTCTTTCTGTTTCTCAGGCACACCAGGATGTGAGAACAGCGGCATGACAAAACATCAGATCTAGTCAAGAAAGACTTACTTAACACAGGAGAGAAAAGGAGCTGGAGATAAGCTCCAAAGATGATTAGGGGAGAAGTTGGTCTGTCAGAGTAGCATAGCTGTTCCTATAGTTTTCCAGGAAGAGGGAGACTAGGAGACGTACAGAAAAAGTTGCCAGGTCAAGGGCCCAGGTGAGAATTCATTTAATGGGTATTTATTGAGCACCTTCTGTTTTCCAGGAGCTGGTGTTGGCCAGTGAGCTTAGAAACCAACATGGTCACTCAGGGAGACCTTGAAAACCCCCTTTAGGTTCTGAGTCTGTTTCCTTCTCTGTAGATCAGGGATAGTAACTCTATCTGCTCTGTTGACTAAAATAGTTATGCATGTGATGCTATAAATACCTCTCTGTTGATCAGATGTGGAAGTTAGACTGGTAGTTCTGTGGAGGAATGGACTCTGTTTTGTTCACTGGTTTATTGCCAATTATGGAAGTGAGCAATTATGGAATTAATGAATGAATGATTGTAACTGAGTCGAAATCACTTTTGGGAATGGAGAAATGCTACTTCACAGATTTTGCACATTCTCTGGATACTTCTTCCTGGGGAAATATTCCCATCAATTCATATCACGATAGTTACATCTTGGCCCAATGAGATGACCTTGTCATGTTGCCCCAAATGCGTAACTATTCTATAAATTACCTGGTTTCATTCATTTGAAACCTGATGATAAAAGACATTTAGGCTCCTTGGCTCTCCTCTACCTTCTCCAGCAACTCCTCTCATCCCCTCTGTGCGAGTGCTGCACGAGGCACACCTCTCCTCTCCTCCTCACTCTGGCTTATGGGCTGGGTACCATTTCATCCCAGATGCTGCAGAGGAAAGAATTGAGATCCACAAAGATCTTGACAGACCACAGGCAGTACTCAGCCAAAGTGAAGGACATGGCTGGATAGGAGAATGGGAAGACAAACACCAAGGTCTAGACGTGAACTCAGAGGAGAGGTGAGAAGAGAAACCAAGCAGCTGCACTTGCATGAAAGAAAAATCAGCAGAGTCAAAAGGCAAAAACACATCTGGACTAAACTCTGCAAAGGGCCACGTTAGGATCTACCTTCAGGTGTTTACGGACTCAATACATATTTAATATTTCCAAAATAGGATGTGAGCTTCATGCTCAGAGAGTATCTCTCTCCAACAGAAATAGGACAGTCAGGCAGTGGGCAGGTGGCATTGGCTTGAGTCAGAATATCCTTTTTTCCTAGACGGGATCTTCAGTTCCCATGCTGTTCAACCTTTCCAATGGGTCAAATGTAAATGTTTTTTTCTTGTTCTTCTCTAAGAATTGCTGTGCCAAGGATCTTGTGCACCTGGCTTAGGTTTTAAAAATCATGGCATTACTAGGCACTGTTCTAAGCGAATTGCCTGCAATATCACCTTAATCTTCATTACAATTCTATGAAGAAGGGACTCTTATTAACCCTGATTTGTAGATGAGAAAATTGAGGCTCAAAGTGGGTTAAGCAACTTCATTGATATGACATAGGTAGTCAGAACTCTTAAATCATGCACATACAACTCCCAAAGGCTGTGCTCCTTAGCCCTGTCCCTTCAAATGAGACAATTAAATCTAGCACAAGCCAGACAGACACATGAACATGAAGACATTCAAAATACTTTGAAGAATATGTTTTTCCAAGATAAGCATGATTATGGCCAAGGCTATTGCTTTGATCAGAAAACTCTGTGCTGCCCAACCATTCTGGCCTAACTACACCAACCCTGGGAATTTCTCTGCCAGGCCATTCCTCTTGCTCAATAACAGTGCTTGCTGATGAAGCTCAAAACCCAGTAGCAATGAATTATTGACAGAGCATGTGAATTGGAGATAAAAGAAAAGTCATTCTTTCTCTACACACGCGATAGTAAATAAATTTAATTATGGTAGGGGAAGCTAAGGGATCTTCATCTGTATTAAGGTTTATTAGCTGAGACATTTAAAAGCATGTCATTATAACAAAGAGGTCTTGTGTAATCCTGAATGTGCCTCTGTGGTGCAGGCCTTGGAAGTGAATAGACTTAATGGAGCACATGGTGGCAGATGGTCTGCTGTACTGACAGGTATTGAACGGGTTTATCGTCAGTTAACTTTGGTCTACAGATGCCTATCGCAAATTGGGGTATAATAGGGTCCTACTCCTCCCCTTTTCACTGGTAAGCTTGCTACATTGGGGCTGGCGGACAAGTAGCATCCAAGTCCTTTAGTATCTTGAAGCTGTCAGTGAGACGAGGCCATCCTGAAGGTGAACACGGGTTGAGGGGTGAATTTGGGATAGAAGCAACCTTGGGAAGGAAAGCGAGAGCATGGCCCTGGTGTGGGCTCAGTTTGGGCCCACTTGCAATCCTGGAACAAAGAAAGTAGGAATCCCATTCATAGAACCAAACTATGCTGGATGCTTTCACGCTATCTGCCCTTTTATTCTCAGGTGAATTCAGGGTCAGTTTTAGGATAAGATTTGGGGGTGTGATTCAGGTTGTTGATGTCGCAAAGTCTGTTCATTCTCGTCTGAGCTTCAGTTTGATCCTTTGTACAGTGAGGCCTTTGTACTAGGTCAGGAGACAGCAGACTTTTTAAAAAGGGCCCAGAGTAAATATGTTTGGGTTTGTGTGTCACGTGGTCTCATTGCAACTGCTCAAGCCTGCTGTGTGCAGCATCAGCCAGGGACAGCACATAAAGGAGAGTGTGGCTGTGTTTCAACGCAAGTTTATTTATGAGCATTGAAATGTGAATTTCATGTAATATTCATGCATCACAAAATGTTATTATTATTATTATTATTCTGGTTTCCCCCCAACCATTTAAAGATTTAAAACCATTCTTAGCTTCAGGCCTTACAAAAACAGAAGGTTGGCGGTAGTTTGCCAACCCCTGGACTAGATAATCTTTGAGGTTTCGTTGAGCGCAAACATTTTCTGAAAGCCACTACAACAATAGTAATAACTTTGATGTATTAAGCTCCTACATGTACCAGAATCTACGTTAAATGCTCTATAAGCATTATCTCCCTTAATCCTCACATTGCATTGAGAGCTAGGTGCCATTATTATCTCCATTTCTGAGAAATTAAGAGTATATTTAGCTTAAATATAACTGGTAAGAAATAGAGCAGCAGTTTAAGCCCAGGTGTATAAGGCTCCCTGCCATGAAGCCATGAGCCTCATGCTGCTTTTTTGGAGGACTCTACAAACAGAACCCTAGAGGGCAGATAGTTAAAAAGAACCACAAGCATTGACCCATGAATTTTATGTGGTAGCTCCCCACAAGCTATTTACATCACACGTTTCGTGCAAAATTAAGATATTTCTGGGTAGGAATGACCACTCTTTCTCCCTTTCTCCCTCTTCCAGAAGCGTGATGCCTAAGACTGTGGATGGGCAGATAACCATGGAGAAGACACCAAGCTACTTTGTGACAAATGAGGCGCCTAAGCGCATCCACTCCATGGCCAAGGACATCAAACTGATCGTGGTGGTGAGGAACCCTGTGACGAGGGCCATCTCCGACTACACCCAGACCCTGTCAAAGAAGCCCGAGATCCCCACCTTCGAGGTGTTGGCCTTCAAAAACCGGACCCTGGGGCTGATCGATGCCTCCTGGAGCGCCATCCGCATAGGGCTCTATGCCTTGCACCTAGAGAACTGGATGCAGTTCTTCCCCCTCTCCCAGATCCTCTTCGTCAGCGGGGAGCGGCTCATCGTGGACCCCGCAGGGGAAATGGCCAAAGTTCAGGATTTTTTAGGCCTCACGCGTGTTGTGACTGAGAAGCATTTCTATTTCAATAAAACCAAGGGGTTCCCTTGCCTCAAGAAGCCAGAAGACAGCGGCGCCCCCAGGTGCTTAGGCAAAAGCAAAGGTCGGACTCATCCCCGCATTGACCCGGATGTGATCCACAGACTGCGGAAATTTTACAAGCCCTTCAACATGATGTTTTACCAAATGACTGGTCAAAATTTCCAGTGGGAGCAGGAAGAGGGTGACAAATAAGGCTAGAGATGTGAAGGAAGGCTAGGGAGCAGCTGAGGAGACCCCTTACCTGAGTCCTGAATCCCCAGGGTCGCAGCCTCACTCTTGCTGGAGTGTAACTTAGGTGTCCCCCTTCATCCAGCTGGGATTGCTTCCCTACGGAGCAGCCAGACCTGCCTGGGCAGCAGCATCTGGTTGACCAGATCTACTGCTAATTCTTGTTTCCTTTGGGTGACTAGAGTCTGAAGACAGGATTGAATAGCTGCCTAGGTCAGAGACAGTGCCATGAATATGTGTTTAAGTGAAGCAAAGAAAGGAAGGTCTATTGGGGGGCTCTCACTTTGCTGTGGGAAGCCTGAGTTCTAGCCCTGTGTCTGGCCCAGGCCGTGCTGTGTGAACCCTGCTCTGGCATCTCTCTGGAATGCTCATTGTGGCTGAGTGCTCCAGGACTCCTGGGTGAGGGACGTCAGCCAAGGAATCTCTGGCCTTCCTGAAAGATCTCAGCTCACAACCCTGTGACTTCCTCCCTCCACACCTTCTAAAGGGAGGGGCATGCACATTCCTCACCCCAAAAAGCTTACACCCCTGGAAACCTTCCTTCTAGGAGCCCTCCAAGGCAGGCTGGGTCTCTCTCTTCATGAGCACCCAAGGCGCTGGGGCTCCGCTCCTGCCCTCGTGTTAGACTCAGCCCCTGGGCTGCTCTTGCAACGGCATGGCAGCAGCAAAGCTCAGAGCCCCGGGCTTGGGAGAGGTGAAAGCCATCTCTGGGAGCAACAAAGACAGCCAGTCCTCTGGGGAGAGGTCTCCACACCTACAGATCCTCTCCCCCAGCTCCTGGTTCTGAAACATGCTTTTGGGGTGGGCTCTGTCCCTCAGGGTCCCCAGAAGGGCAAGAACCAGAAAATTGGCATGTCTTATGTTATGAATAATCCTTAGCCACACAGTGAACAGGGTACCGGTCACCATCGTCTATTTGCCCACCACCTGCCCTCATGGTCATCTCTTCTTCATTTGCTCTGTTCACAGACAGCACATTTTGGGGAGTGACAAGAGGGCTGACTCCACTTGCCACATCAGTTTATGGGGGTGGGGGGGAGCAAGGGCTGTCTGGGACAACCCCCTTCAAGGGCTACTGACTAAAGTATCCCTTCCCATTAGTCGTATTTGATTGAAATGCAGCATTCGACATGAAGCCCTGTTCACGGGTCTCCCAGTCCAGGAACTGTTCCAGTAACATTGGAAATGTGTGCGTGGGGGAGCTAACTCTGTTCAGCTGTTACTAAACTGTCATTTCTCCGGCTAAATGAAAACTGTGTTGTTATAAAGCTTAATGCAACCTAATCAATGGGTTTTGATGGTGTTTTCTGTTGATCACCTCCAACCCACCCCTACTCTCGGATTCTGGGAGTTTCCCTTCTTTAGGATAACCAGAAGGACCCAGATTAGATCTTCTGGGGGTTCTGTCTTATAAGAAGTACCACTTTCTCATTCTCAACTGGTCCTGGCAAGGAATGGATTGGTGTGCCCAACTGAGGGACAACCTTACAAATCATTGTTTTTCCAGATAAGAAAGTGGTTATTGAGCTGAAGGCAATATATTATGCCTTTGCTACCAAAATAAAAGAATACCTAGCCATGAACAGTTGGCTCAGTTGTTTGGAGCATTGTCTATATACCAAAATATTACAGGTTCATTTCCCAATCAGGGTGCAAACCCAGTTTGTGGGTTTAATCCCCAGCTAGGGTGTGTACAGGAGGCAACTGATCAATGTTTCACATCTCTCTCTCTCTCTTTCTCTCTCTCCCTTCCACTCTCTCTAAACAACAATAAAAACATATCCCTGGGTGAGCATTAAAAAACATAGAGAGAGATAGAATACACCTATTTCAAGAAAGAAAATGCATAAATGCATGCTTGCTCAGAAGAGTGTATGGTGTGATACTGATTTGGCGCCGTTTTATAGGAAGAGCAAGGAGCAAGTCCAGTTACACATCAGAGCCAGCTGTGGGGTTTTTCAAGCTACAGCTTCCTGAGTCCTATTTCACATTTCTTGAGTCAGAGTCTCCAGGCCCAAGCATCTGTCCTTTAAAATATATTCTTATGGTCCTGGCCAGTGTGGCTCAATTCACTGGCACATCCTCCCATACAGAGAAAGGACAAGGGCTTGGTTCCTAGGTGGCAGGTTTGAGCTCCTGATTGATGCATGTACAAGAAGCAACCAATCAATGTTTCTCTCTCTTCCTTCCTCTCTCTCTAAAAAATATCAATAAACATGTCCTTAGGTGATGATTAATATATATATATATATATATATATATATATATATATATATATATATATATTCTGGGATTGAGAACAAATGAAAAAAGTCTTACATGTGTATGTCTTTGCCCTCCCATCCTCCCTGTAGCTTTTGTGAAGGTACTTTCAAGAGTAGTGGTCCCCAAGGGCTTGCTTGGGGAAACATGGTCCCTTATGGGGGAAGTCTAATGAGGACCACATAAGGAGTGAATGACATAAGGAGCAAAGGTCATGGCTTTCCTGCTTGTAGGGAGGCTTTACTGTGACTTTCTATTATACCTGCTAAGAATGACCATTTATCTAACCTCTCCCATCTGTTCTGTCCTGAGTTGACTCAGCCCCTCGATCACACCTTCTCTTCACTTCCCATCTCCCTGCTGGGTTGCGTGGCCCCTTGAACTCAGAGCATCCAGATGTTCTGTGCTGCTTAAAAAGGAACCCAGTCCTGTGTCCTCACATACATGACAAGTTAATCCATTGTTAGCCTGGCTAGCTGGTAGTTACAGTCATTCTTATCTGGGACACAACAGAGGGGAAACCCTTGGGGCATTTACACCCGCTGGCATGTAACAGGAGGCTTATATTCTCTGGAGAAACAGGGCAGAGGCCTAAGCCTAGAGAGCTTAAGTGTTTTTATTTGAAGGGTCATTCAATGACATGCTTGGAAGCTCATGGTTCTGGAAAGAAATGTTAACCTGAGATGTTTCAGTACCATTCTGCAGTGTCTGCCCCAGCTCCATTCCCAGGTGCTGGGAGGGAGCCACACAGCCGCTCGTTCCTCAGTGGAGAAACTTGACAAAGGAATTACTTCCTATCCTGAAAAGCTAAGTCAACCTGTTCAAATAGAGGCAGGTTAATAACACTTCCACCCTATTTAAACGCGAGCAATGTGACTCGAGGGAGATTGAATTTTGTATTTGATTTCAATTAGCAAAGCATAAATTATACTTAATTTTCCATTGCCCTCCCTTCCCTGGAATGATGACTCAGAGCTCGGGAAAGCCTGCTGCTGGGAAGAGAAAAGGAGATCCATTCTTCGGGTGGTGATGCTGCCTTTACCCCCTACTCATTGCCTTTGCCGGTGTCATTCTGTGCCTGAAAGGTATGGAAGCCTTGGCCTTGGCACTAGACCTACCAGCTCTACACACAGAACGATGACAGCACAGACATGCAGCAACCCCTTTTACCTTTTGACTTGAGAGCAGTAAGGCGTGGCCATTCCCTGGACCTCTGAGCAACCTTGAGGAGCCTTGCAGATTGAATTTCAGGTTGAGGAGCATGGCCTGCCCCAGTCCAGGATACTAGGGGTCCCACTCTGAGCCACACTTCTTTAAGACCTCAGCTCCTCGGCTCTCCAAGGTGCATGTCTTTTCTGCCCCTCCCATTTACCCACCTGCTACCTCCTTATTCCCCCCAAAATTTGTCTGCCTCAAGGCAGTCAGAAGAATGGTAGCTGGTGTAAGCCTGGCCTTATCTCTGTCTTGGACAAGCAGCATTGTCCCTCTGAACCTTAGTTTCCATATCTCTAAAATGGGCTTATTTAATCCCTACTGGCCAATCACCAGCATTTCTGTGATGACCAAATGATGGAAGATATTTTTTAAAACTGAAGCGCTTCATTGACATAGTGGAGAGTAATGCTGACGATGGTCATGAAGAAGATGAAGGAGGAGGAGGAGGAGAGAGGTGGATCCTCATACTACTTCCTGAACAACATGCCTCTGTAGCATTCCAAGGGTATATCTTCACTCAGACTGGACAATATGATGATGCAGAGGGGAAATGATTTTGCCCAAAGCTAAGGTCCAAAAACATCCCCCTAGAAACAGCACAGAGCTGGCTGGATTTCAGGCATTCAATACAATATCTTTTCCCCACCGGGTCCAGACCTCACCTCTTCCCCGCAACACGCAAGTTCTCATCACTATAGCCTTTCCCTGCCCCACACTCAAAGTTCTTTTGGATACAACCAGACACCTTGGCTTGTTCACACAGGGCCTTGCAGATCTTCTTGGGATGGAAATGGGGCGATGTCTTCAAGCTTTTTCAAATGCTATGTCTGCGGCCATGACTCCTAATCTTTTCTATGAAGACACTGAGGGCTGAGAGCCAGGGCAGGTGCTGGGAGCGGGGCTCGCATGTGTCTGGAAATAAAGTGGGGTAGGGGTTCCTTGGATTCTTTAGCACATTGGGATGGGAGAGAGGAGTTCATATGACTTCTGTTTTCTCATGGGTGTGAGGATGTGTCATTTCCAGGTGTAGGAGATACATGAAACCACTGAGACATTGTGAGACTATACGGCAAGGTAATGAGTTCCTCATGCCATTGAGGAGAAAACGCAGGCCAAGAACATGTGTGGAGTGTGTGTCCACAGATAAAGGTGGCAGAATGTCTAGAATTCCTGGACACAGGCCAGTCCCATTACTCTAGGGTTAATCATGTTTCACTGAGACTTTTATTTTACAAATATGTGCAGCAGACACGTGGCAATTGGAAAAGGTATGGGAGTGAGCAAAGCTGGTTTGCTGGACGGGGCTCCCAGCCAATGGGGAAGATGGCTATGAGAGACGTGCATACAGTAACATTGACACTGTTGTGAGAGAAATGCACAGGGTGTATGAAAACATGAACTTGGGGGTGGTCGGGGTAAAAAGACACCAAGAACTTGTGTCATTAAAGACCATAGTCATCAGAATTTGCCTCATCCCAACTCATAAG